GATCACCTGACTAGGCTGAGTAAGCAAGATGTTCTAGCAGGTTCCACCACAGAGGTATAAATATAAGGCCTACTCTGCCTGGGACTGTCTCTGGAGACTTGGTCTCTTAGGATCATCCACAGATACCTATACTGTAGATAGGTCTTAGTCATCAGGTCTACTCCACTTCCTTGTTGCCTGCTTAGACTCTTGGCACTCTTAGGTGAGCAGACTTAGTCAGCCTGTGTTGCCCTAACAATCACCCAGAATTATACAGATGGCAAACAAAAGATCCAGATCACCTGTCTGAATTCCCACCAGACCATAAACCTATGGACACAATCACACTGAATGGGAAGAAAACAAGTGGTCCAGGATTTATAAATCAGGACCATCTTCACTGGCAACCAGAAGATGGCACAGACACCTCAATTAATTGGCACTTGATCTTGAATAACAGCTCTCAGATAGACACCCCAGATTTGGATACCATACCCCACGATACCCATCCTGTATATGCAGCCTGCAAATGCAAGCCCACAGACAGATGCATGAAACCTGTCTCAACAATGACACCAGAAAGTGTGAAAATATGGAGACACTTAAACAAATACAGATTCCTCTGGCAAGAAGAAGAAAACCTTGTGGCATGGGTCCTTCATACCCACAAAAGAGTGTTTGCTTGGAACAAGCAAGAAATGGGTTTATTTCACAGTGATTACTTTGACCTGGTCTGAATTCTGATGATTGAATATATACCCTGGAAACAGAAGAATATTCCGGTGCCTCCCACTTTACTGCCGAAGGTCTTGAAGGCCTTGCAAGACAAGCTAAATGCAGGAATATATGAATGCTCCCAATTCTCCTACTGCTCCCACTGGTTCTGCATTCTGAAGAAAGACAGCTCCCTATGACCTGTTTTGGACCTGCAACTGCTCAATGGCATAATGATTTGGGACTTGGCCCTTCCACTGCTTTCTGAACCCCTCATCAAATCTTATGGCAGATGATCTGTCTACATGCTTTTTGACTTCTTTTGCGGCTTCGAACAACACCTCCTTCATCCGGAAAGTCGGGATCTCACAACTTTCCAATCCCTCAAGGGTTCCCTTCACAGCACCCAAAATCAGATGGGCAGAACAAACAGCATCCAGATCATGCATGAGGACATCACCTTCCTCCTCTGCGACAAAATCCCTGAATATACCATCCCCTTCATCAACAATGTTCCCATCTGTGGCCCACCAACACAATATGAACTCCCTGATGGTGATTTTAAATGGCACTCCCAAAATAAGGGCATTTGTCATTTTCTGTGGGAGCACATGGAAGTAAATTGGATCCTGACCTGCATTGAACATTCTGGTGGAACATTCAGTGGCCCAAAAATGGTTATAGCAGTGTTAGGGCAACACAGGCTGACTAAGTCTGCTCACCTAAGAGTGCCAAGAGTCTA